CCTGGCCATTGCAACCATCCAGGGAGTGAACCAGAAGATGGAGGATCTCTCTCTGTCTCTTCCTCTTCCTCTGTTACTCTGCCTTTCAAATAAATATTTTTAAAGTACTCAAGAATATTACTTAATATTTGAAAATTATTAGAGATAATTGTTAGGATAAGATACAGAGTAAAGACAAAACTAAAAGAGTTGGCACACATTCTGAGTAGATACTCATGTTAACCTTGCGTAGCCAGGGGCCGTCCAGTTTACATCCCTCTGTTCCCACCCTGCCTTTCTCAGTTATCTCTACTGAAAATCTCTGTAATTAAATACTAGGTTTTAATCAATAGATTGTTACAGTTTCCTTCGTTTCCTTCAATACATGCTGCAGAAATGGCTGTCTGCTTCCACCTTGATCAAAACGGCTCCCCAGAGCTGACATTTTCAAAACTAAACACCCCACCCTGCAGCTGTATATTCTTTGGAAGCTGTGTCTTTCTCTTTGTGTCCTAGAAGTGGAAGCAAAGCAGTTTATGGAGGGTGACCATCTTATTGTATAAAAATAATTGCTGTTAGTAATGGTTCCCACAGGCTTACAAGGAAGAGAAATGACTCCACTTCTTTACACGTCTGCAATTGACACTTGCATACTCAATCACTTCTAGTCCCAACTCTCATGCTTCCAGATAGTCACAAGTTCATATTTCTACAGGAACACCTCCTACCTCTCTTTACCCTGAGCTTTCTTCTTGGGCCAAAATGCCCTCACTAACCAATCTCCAACCCGAAGTTCTGAGCAGGTGCTGTAGTAGAACCTAAATGTTCCTCAGTCCTAGAATTTATCAAATTGTATCATAACTGTCCATCAGAGCTAATGTTCAGGAAGGCATTGGCAATGTCTCTCTGAATCATCTTCAGAGCCAGCACATTGAAACACAGTAGGGGTGTAGATGAACAACGTAGAAGTAATGAAAAAATTCCTTCCCAGTCAAAAATACATTATAACATCATTTTCCTTGAAGATTGTGTCATGCTGTTTCTCCAGTCCTTTATGTCCTGAGGCAGAAGGTGCTGTATGGAAGCAATCCTCCGCATCACTACATGTCCCGTGTAGTATCCTGGCTAAAATGCCTGTGTTGAAAACAGTGGACCAAAGATATTTTTCAAATATGCATTTTTGTCACTTTATTCAGCATAAAGACTAAAACATCAGTAACTACAGTGAAATTAATTGGGTATCAAAGACAATCTCAGGAAACTTCATTCCTATATTGAGTTTGTTTCTATAGTAAGTAAAAGCTTTTAAAAATCCAAGTGTCAGCTATAGTAAAAATGTGTGAACATTTTTGAAAGCGACTAAGCTCAACCAAGGTATTTATAGTTAATATACAATAATTATGTGTTGTCTGTTATTGCACTGAAGACATACTTTCCTTTTAGTCAATTGTAGAAACATCATCATATTTGTTTCAGTTTACACATCCCTAAAATTTTTGAATACACTTTAAACAAAAAGCTGAAATGTATTTGGGGTTCATTTTACTATTAACCTCTACTTATGAGGGATTTCTTTAAATATTAAAAAACAAAATGTTTAAAAAATCCTCTTACAGTATACTGGAATAATAACACCAAAAAAAGAATCATGGTTATATATTTCAAAATAATTCTTTCCAGGTCCAAATTTATTTAACCCAGTCTAAAACTTGGTTTAAGTCATATGTTATACCAAATTAATAAGTTTGTCCATGCCTTGAATAAGCTGATAATTTATTGGAGATATGAACAAGTATAGTTGATTGTCCTGAAGTGTTTGGGAATGATGTCAGTGTGTACATAACTGACTATGAAAGCACATGAGAAACTATTAAACTTGAAACAAGTTGATCTTCTTTAAAACAATGAAAATTGCTTCCTCTCTGACATTAAGTGAAAAGAGGTAGGTAAATGTTAAATGTAGATTCAAGGTTTTTCACCTAATGATTGTAAAGAAAAAATATAAAAGTGGGTGAAATTCAACCTTTCTTCTGAAATTTTGCAGCAATAAGTGTGGTTTATATTTAGAAGACATTTAATGTTTTGGTAACCATAAAGTAGATAACAGAGTATCACCATTGAAACCAAACAAGCAAACATTCATAAAGAGGGTAAAGTATCAAGTGAAGAACATGGACTTTGATTCCAGTAGACTTGGGTTTGAATTACAGCTGTCATTTGGTACACATGTGTGCTTAGTAAGTCACATACATGCTCTAAATCTCAATTTCTTCATATGAAAAATGAAATTAATGGTAATATTCATGGAGCTATCATAAACAAATTGGTTTATAGCACTTGTTAGATTAGGGGAGCCATCACCAAAGACTAACTGCTATAGTTCCAATCTAATGGTAAATAAAGCCAGGGATTTCACTGTAAAAGATGTTCAGTCCATGCAGGGGTTGGGAGGATGTTGGCAAGTGTGAAACTGTGACCTGATAACAGACAGAGGCGAGAAAGACAGGGATGTGAGTGATGATGTCAACTATGATGATGATGACAATGAAAGCAATAATCGCTATGGCTCCTTCTAAAACTCAGAATATTTACCATTGAAGTGAGTTTTTACTTTCCTAGGACCAAATAAAATGTTTACTTAATAATCTTTTAAAAATCAGGTTGCAGTTAACACTTTGGCTGAGTAGAGCCTCTCTATCTCTAAAGAAGTCAGAATCACTAGAATGTCTTACCTGGTGTTGTGTGAATTAGTGTGAAATCACAGGTTCTTATTAAACAACTTCTCTAACCCAGGGATAAAATCTAGAGTGTTAGTGTCCTACAGACACTGAGGTAGAAGAGAAGCCCAAAGAGCCATGAGTGCAGTCAGATAGGGGAGGCTGGGGCATATTCTTAGAGGAGAGAGCTTGAAGGAAGCAGGAAAGTGACCTGGAAGAGGAAGATGAGAGAAGGAAGATAGCTCATCAGTGCCATTGCAGGAAAGCAGCAAGAATAGGTACAGTTTAAAAAATAAATATCAAGACTATGTGTGCCCGTAGATGAGAAGTCTTGAGGCAAATAACGTTTGGAGAACAAAGGAAGGAGAGAAGCAATAACTGTAGATCTAGGAAGAAAACACCAGGTAGCATTACCCCCACAATGCAGGACTAATGGAGAGTTCCTAGCTGAGTGAAAGAGGTAAGGTCAAAGGCAAGACAGAACCCTGGGGTCAAGAGACTCAGAGTGCTGGGAAACAAAGGCAGGAGACCAAGATTCCTGTGTTTCCAGGCTGAAGTTGAGGGTGGGAATTAAGTTTACATTAGATACTAATGATGGAGTAGGTGTCTAGATGTGGAATCTTTATTTCTATGCTGGAATTATTCCCCTCAATGCCAGAAGAAAACAGAGGCTTTGAGCGGTAGAAGAGGATAGGGGGTTTCATTGAGACAGGCAGCTAACAGAAATAGGGAAGGAGAAATCACATCATTCTATTTTATGTAGTGGTCAAGTTCAGAACATCCATAAATTATGAGATAAGGAAGAGGAAATCGCTCAAACTCTGTGAGACGCTGAAGATAACTGAAAACTTATTTCCAAGAGTATAATATGTGGTTCTTGAAGAATCAATTAGTGATTAATCCCCAACCAATGAGGACCAACACTCCCCATCATTTAGTTAAAATATTATGATCTCTTTATGTTGTCATTAATCAAAGGATACTATTTTTATAATGCTTTATCATTTCAAAGTCTTATCACATAATTATTTTACTTTAGTCCTCAATAACTTTATTACTAAGTGAAGCAACATGATGAGGTGTAGTTTCCTGTATAAATGGACGAGTTGATGAAGGTCCTAAAACCAGAGTAAAGGCGAAACTGATGTGCAATTTTAAGCCAACCCCAATATCTCAGTGACCACTGAGATCATTAAATGAAATCTGCTAATCATGTCCCTTGATAATCTTGTCCCTGGGCAATCTTGGGTATTGACATCATCCTATCTATCATCCTATCTCTTGCACATTGCTCTTATTACAAAGTAGGGCCAGGTAAAATTCTAGAATTCTAGTAGGGTAGGTAAAATTCTAGAATTTGGTCTCTCTATCATGCACCTCCCTTTAACCAGAAAAAGAGCTGTTTTGGGAAGAGCAAAAGCTTTGAATTCAGAATGATTCAAGTTCCAATCCCAGCCATTAGAATCTGCAATTTGCTCAAAATATTTCTCAGACTCTGTGCCCAAGTATTGTAATCTGAAAACTGGCAAGTACAATGCCAGTTTTGGAGGATTTTAAGGCTTACAAAATACGTAGAATAATATCTGCCGTAAAGTAATAGAGTCAACAACCATTGCGTTTCTGCTTTATGTTTTTTACATTATTATATTACCTCATTTGTTAGGAGGGCAAAATTGTCTCTATTTTACAGATAAACTTTAAGAAATGTTAATACAGTTTCTTAGGGCCACATGTAAATTAAGTAAAGATGGGATTAGACATACATTGTTGAAGATGCTTTGGTGTACTCTCCTTTTACTCTTACCCCAACTGATTTCAGCCATAGCTGTAGTGGATGGTTCCTGCATGCAGCCAACATTGCACTTTAGTCATCCATTGTTCCCTATTTATCTCACCTCTCCTGTGTTTCAAGGGCCTCACTAATGACCGAAGAGTTCCCAGGACAGACCATACTGGAAGTACAAGTTGAAATCCCTAAGGGCATTCTTCCACAAATGGGAACTGGTGGCCAATGGGTAAATGCCCTAGCCTCTCTTCCTTTGAACTGATTATTCCAGTGCTTTACAGTCCCTCACAGCTAAAGCCATCTCCACAGCTCCCCCTATTTTGGCTTGTCCTCCTCTGTTACATTCTCTTCCACATCTTTAATTCTGCTTCCTAGGATCACTTCCCAGATAAATTATCTTTAGCTAAGCCCTTGTTGCAGACCATTATAGAAACTAAAGGGTTGGCAGTGGGGTGAGAGGGTAATTTTGTTTCGTTTTGATTTGTATTTGTACTGCATTTCTTTCTGTTTCTCCATAGGTCACCAAGATGCTGGCAGTCGTTGTAATTCTGTTTGCCCTTTTATGGATGCCCTACAGGACTCTTGTGGTTGTCAACTCATTCCTCTCCAGCCCTTTCCAAGAAAATTGGTTCTTGCTCTTTTGCAGAATTTGCATTTATCTCAACAGTGCCATCAACCCAGTGATTTACAATCTCATGTCCCAGAAATTCCGTGCAGCCTTCAGGAAGCTCTGCAACTGCAACCAGAAGCCAACGGAGAAACCCACTAACTACAACGTGGCCCTAAATTACAGTGTCGTCAAGGAGTCAGACCACTTCAGCACAGAGTTTGAGGATATCACTGTCACTGACACTTATTTGTCTGCCACAAAAGTGTCTTTTGATGACACCTGCTTGGCTTCTGAGGCAACCTCTAGTGAAAGTTGATTGATAAATTAGAAGGAAATCAAAATCAGCAAAAGAGGAAATGGGAAAACTCATATGTGAAGAAGGAGCAGATGGGACTTTGCCAATGCTCTGACAAGTCTTAGCCCCAGATACCTAAACCCATGAACACGATTCAGATTTTCCTTCTTAGAAAAAGAGCAGATCTGTGAAATAGCTAAACCATGGAAACTGAAAGTGTAGCTCTTTTCAGTTAATTTCAGAAATTTACTACATTTTCTAGTTGGGAAATTTTCATAAAATCTAGACACCAAGTCACATTATATATAGTAACATTCTCAAAAATGATTTCCCAACTGCTTCAAAAATTACCAGTATACTTCTTGCTTTGGTATTATGTATAGCTTTAAATGTTTGCACTTAATATTTTATTTTAACAAAGTACAGAGATATTATGTGAATATCTAAGAAAAATAGAGAAAAGTTTTTTAAAAATCATATGCTTAGTAAAAATGAGATTCAGAAAAACAAACCCACTATATTTTTTAAATTGTCATAATGTTTATTAAATATTGAGATGATTTTTATCTCACAAAGTAGATAGACATCATTCAACTTCAATGTAAAATAAATCCCAAAATATCCAAGTTGTGTGTTGAGGAGTCTTCAGCTTTGTTTCCAAGTTACATCCAGACCTTAGCTACTCTTAGAGCCTCAGAAATGATGATTTGAACAAAGATTAAATTGCTGTAAACACAAAACTGCCATATCATTAATGTTGAACAGTATAGCCACATTGAGACCAAGTATTTAAAATAAGGTTTTCCTTTTTTTTTCTGAAATGTTTAAGAAAAAAGATCCTTTTTGAACATTCTTGTGTATATATTACTGAGCCATGTCTAGTGAATATAGCTTATAGTCTGCTGAATATAGCTGCATATAGCTTAAAAAGTCTGAAACAGTTTCAAAAGCATTGTTGTTATTAAAGTCAGTCAAAGCCTGGCTATTACACATTGAGGTGAAGACCTCCTACTGAGAATTGTAGTTGATGGATTTGTAACTTTCCTTCAATTGTCCTTCGTTTCTGTTTGCTTTTCACTTGCTTTTTCAAATGCTGGTTATGTTTTGCTTACAGATTCTAAATCAAAGCAACGAAAAATTCTGTTTGCTTTATCTTCAACTGATCTCATCATATTATCGGTTTCTCATCTCTGCAGTTATGACCTAGACTTGCTTTGCCAGTGATCATTAGACAGATGTGAATATGCATCTTCCCAGGACATTTTTCTCTGTCCAATTTTTATCTCTTACAAATTACTCACCTACTGAGATTTGATCAACCAGCATCTCCAAGCTAAATTACCCTTGGTGATAATTCACTAATGGCTTATTTTTGATGACTGTATGAAAAATTCTCATACTCTTAAGTGTCCTATATGTTGACCTTTTCTTTCTCTAGCCTATTTCATGGATATTTTCTGAAATCTGATTACTAATGATAATTACTCCTCCTTACCTTCTTAAAGTAAAGTACATTATTCTGTATGGAATCTCATTTTTTAAAATGCCACCTCATGGAGACTCTGCCATCCAGCGCTCCAGAATACGCTTTTATGAATCTTGATCTCATCTGCTCCAGGAAGACATTCTTATCCTGTCACTGAGTCAGTAAACAAATACAAACAAACATTTACAGCAAATACCCTAAAAATCTGTCGCATAACATCGACCAATCTATTTTAACTGACTTTTCCAGGATTAAGTGCTAATCTTGAGGTCATACAGACAAAGAACCAGAGTGCTCCAACCCCAACTCACACAAGCACATGTAGAGGTGCCTGCAAACACACATGCACATGTGCATAAATTGGTTACCAAAGGGGAATGGAATATATTCTGTTATTTCAATAGGGAAAGGAACTAATTTCATTGAACATCTATAATATCTCAAGCATGCTAACAGGTACATAACTAATACGATCTCATCACAGTCTCACTACAGCTGCAATTTCTTTAATGATATGAACAGAAGGTAGGAATCAATGCTGCTTAGTGTGGCTACTAGAAAGAGAAAATAGGGGCAATATTTTTTTAAGTTAACACATTAGCTAAATTCTTGCAACCTGATGGGCTACTTTATATATATATGTATATATATTTCATTCAGGTAACATCAGATGTTGAAAAAATATTCTTTTTATAAGATATATTCAGAACATAATACATTCTCATTCTTGGAAATGTAAATAAAGTCTTGACTTTTCCATTTTAACTTTTAAAAACTTATTTGCTAATAATTTATTAGGTCTAAACTGCTTGAGAAATTTAAAAGAGGGCAATTCAGAGTGTTTCATCTTTAAACCAAATGACATTATAAAATGGTTCCTGTGTATTATCTAATAGATATCTGGATCTACACAGGAGAGAGATAATGTTTTAAAGCATTATTCATCACACTATATTAAATCATAAAATATTTTCATAAATAATCAAAACTTAATATACCATCAAATGAAAACTAAGGAGCTAGATGAAAATTTGCGGGTAGAGTAAGGCAATGTTATTAAGAGCCCAAAGAAAGAAAATTTATTGCATTATTTTATTACTTCCAGTTTCATTAATCTTTGGTTTGTTCATGCCCTCAAGATAATTGGGGAAAGGGCACAGATCATGAATAAATCAAGCAAACAAAAATCCATAAATTCTCTCTTAAGAGTTCTTCATCAGTATTAGGAACATATTTCTAGAGCACAAAACAACACAAATATTCTAATGTTAAAGGTAAAGAGGAAAAATCCAAACCTTACAAAGTTTGTGATCATTCTTAAACAGGTGAAATGCATAGAACAATGCACCTTGATAATATACCAATAAATGGCTAGTTTAAGCAAAACAGCCAGTAAAATCAAAGAAAAACTATAGCCATAAACTTAGTTGAGTGTATTAAGTATTAAATTGGTATTACTTGAATAATTTAATTTTCAGATGACAACATTAGAATATTAAGGACAATATGTTTCAATGAAGCTGGTTCTACATGGTTTTGCAACTGTTCTGAAAGAATAAAAACTTAAGTAATATAAATTATGTTAGATCTCTAAATATGATAGAAACAAAAAACTGTTAACCTTTTAGAGAGAAGGATTTTAGGTATTTAACTCATGATTCTAATAATTTTACAAATATCATGTTTGATTTTATTTTTAGTTCTGAATTACAACTCACAAGAGACTGGAATATTTGTGTATACAGTGAGAAAACTGGATGTGAATGCAAGAGAACCAAGATTTGACTGAGTGGATATAAGTTTTTAGGGTAATACATAAGAAGAAATCTTACAGAGCTCTGTAGTGATAAATGGTTTCCTCTTCTCTTTATACTGTACATCATATTTTCTCCTCCCCTCAAACTCTCACCCTTCACAACCAGGGCTTTCTCAGTGCAGGAACAGTCATCTAACTTCATCAACATTGATCTTGGACATGAACTGTCTTACATAAAAAGTAAATGTTCTATATTTGCATGTATAAAAAGTATGTTATGGTTCCACAAACTCATTTTCATAAAAATCTCCTTTAAATTAAGGAAAAATATATACCTCTGAAATTTTTATTTGACTTTTGACCTCATTTATTTTGGTAGGAACCATGTGTAGAGTTGCTCTGCTTAACATGGATTTTCCTCTTCAAAGTAAAGGTTTATATTTCAGAATTTTCTGTCAGAATCTAAAAGAATACTGAATGCATGCAAAGATGCTCCAGTATTTTGTTTAAGAAAACAAAAGGTTCATCCCATTCTCAGGAAACTCACAATTCAATGAAAAATATAAGACCAACATGATAATATCTCAAGATGCAACTGTTTGGCAGTATTTAGGATATGAATTGGAGCTGTCAGAAATATTTTTTATAGAAGAAATTGTTAATGGTATATTTGGAAATATAATGTACAGTATAAAGATCTATATGGTCTGATTCTATATTATGGGCTATAGACATATTGATTAATTTAATTATTAAGTTCATTGATAATGCAAGAAAAAAGGTTAGATAAGAATAATATTTTCCTTATATGCCTTATCTCTAAATTTAATCTCTAATAACTCAGTTCCCATTCTCATGTATAGAAACTGCACACTGGGGTATAGTTTTGTTACTGAGGTGGTTATTAACACTAAATTGACCATGCTGACATAAAATGAATCTATATGGTTATTATTTCAATATTTAAATATCCGTTTTGACAGGAGTTATCATAAATGTTTGAACACGGTGTTGGCAAGCCTGCTTCTATTATTCTACACAAAGTTGATTCATGGTAAATCCAATATATGATGGTTAATTCAGTTTGGGAAGTTACAACTGAAAAAAAGAGCTGGATGAGGTAGTACAACTGAAACATGACATTGTCCAAAATATTCAAATCTGGATCCAATGAAGAAATAAAATTTACATAACAATTTCCTGTATGTCCTCAAGGAGAAGCATCTAGGTCAAGTCCATGGTACAGACACTCAGCTAGAATAATGTAACTGAAAGCACTTTGAAAATTTCAAAAATTAAATGGATGGGTTAAGCAATGGAATTCACCAGAGCTCCTGAAATCTGAACCATGAAGTACTATCTGTAAGTGATTATTTTGTTTCTTATAGAGTAATGGACTTAATTCTTGTGCCTGAACTTATTCTCTGAATTCTGAGAGAAAGTTCCTCAAGAATATGATACACTGATAATGATAAAGATGAAGCCTTTTCAGAAAAGGAAAATAAATGCAATGTAGTAATAGGGTAAGACTTCACCTTACCAGAGATCTAAATTTAAAAATCAAGAACATTCTTGATATTCTTAAAATATCAGAAGATATCCCAATAAAGATCCCAAATATTTATTCCCTAGCCAGGAAAAAATTAGCCATTTCTGCTTAGGAATTACTCAGGAAATTGTCTTAAAGTACACTCTTTAGCTACACCTGAGTCATTCTTAATTACTAGCTGATTTTGATGCCTATAGTTCTCTGAGTATACTCTGAAAATTGATTTCTTCTGAGTCCCCATATAGAGCCATCAAAGATCTCCACTGTCACATAATTCCTAATAAGCTACTAAACAGAAAACTGCTTGAGGGTAAGTCTGTTTCATCTTTGTATTTCTAAATTATCTAAACTTGATGGTCCCTATATGTACCTGTAAAATGAATGAATAAATCAATGAATTCCAAATTAAGGGATACATTCTAAAATCTTGATGCTCAGTTTGCCAATTGTAGGTTATTTTCCCAATAAAACAACTTACTTTGTTTACTTGTAGTTTTTAAGTAATTCTCCTGGCTCAGTGAAGGGCACTCTGGTAAATGTGTCAAGTGAAAGTCAGAAAAATCTCTTATGTGTGCATCATGCATAACAATTTCCATAGCAGTCTCGTGTTCATCATCTAATTTAATAATGAGAAGTAAAGGAGGTTAAGTATTGCTCCTGCTTTCAAAGAGATTAAAATCCAATGACAATATATTAACACAGAAACATATAAGGAGACAGTATATATAACTGAAAGCCAAATTGCATGACTTCAGATTGTAAACAACTGAGCTCTTCAGCAAGAAAGGATCATCAGTAGGCCCTCTTGACATTAAGCAGAGCTTTGTAAAGAAGGTAGGACTTCCTGCAAGGATGGATTTGATCTAGATAGTTAAAGAAAAGACTGTCCATGTGAGAGAAACAAGATGAATGACAAACTTTAGGGCAAATCTCTGGATATTAAGGACTTGAATCCAAAGTAAGTTGAATTCACCAAATTGACAACAAGGCAGACAGCTAGTCCACAGAAAACATAAAGGAGGTAAGGGACAGACATGTACTTTCATTTGTTGAGGAAATATTGACCCATACACAAGAATATAAGCTAAAAATGTATATGTCAGTTATATTTCTAAACTTTCATTTATGATCTTTAAAAAATATATTGCACTAGTGGTCTTGCAAGTGTTGTAATTCTAAAAGTATCCTTATAGTCCTAGTTTTCCAAGTGAAAAATATATGTGAGTCTATATCTTTTTTCTGTATTATAGTATCACTGTATATTTAAAAATATTTATGTATGTGTATTTTGATAGAAATACTTAACAATTCTGGATTTATCCAATTATGCTTAACATAGAGATCAGAGCTAGCTTAGCGACCTAAGCCATTTATGAACCTAAGCTTCAACATTAGACATGAAATCAAAAAACACATAGTGACTATTTCAGATTACTGTGACGACATTGTTGACTTGCATGTTTATGATGTACCTCTGAATGTTCTGGCTTTCTTCTGTCAGCTTTGGAAATTTGCTGACTCACTTTATCACTTTATGTGTTCTTATGGAACAAAGACTCTTCTTTAAGAAAGTGCAGTATTATGCGCTCTATTATGGGAATGTGTGTCTGGTCTATTGTGTGTATGGGGAGCAATAAAGCATCAAGTGGAAAGATCTGGATTTTTAGCTTTCTTTTTCTTCCAAATTGCTTCATTTGGGGTATCATTTGACCCTAAGCCACTTGCCCAGCAAACTTTGTTTCATTCAGTTCAGTGCAGCTCAACATGGTCCACCTGTGAGAGTTTTAGTTGTTGCTTTGGGATAATTAGAAATAATATGTAAATAGACATTTTCCAATTTAATAATAAATGTACTGGAACAAATATGTCTAGAGCATCAAATCCATGATTTTATTGATATTAATGAGTTCATTTCATGTTGTTAAATGAGATAAAATCAAGAGGACTAACTAGTGGTTCAAATTTGGGCAACATGGTTTGAAGCATTTGTTTCAAATGTCTAACTGCTCCTTCTTGAAAAATGGGAAACTCAAATGTAAAAATCAGATTGCAAGTAGTTTCCAATTTACCTGGATAGGTGATATAAAATCACTTGGCCTATAAAATTCAGCTCTGTATGGAAACATACTTGGCTGGTTCCTGGGACATGGAGTAAACAGATTCTCTTTAATAATGTTCACTTTGGAAGATAAAAGAGAATTCCTGTGTAAGTAAATCTCAAACTTTGAATGCTCTTATTTGTTCACACCTGATGAACATGGGAAAAATAAACTAAAAAACATACTTGAAGCATTGTAACATTTTTTGAACCAAAAAAAAAAAGTTCTTTCAAATTTCTAGAGAATAAGGTAAACTTATTATCACTATCTCCTTTCAAAGTCTTTTTTTCTTATATTGCAATATGTTGCTCTCGAGCTATATAAATTTTCTTCAGTTCCCCGAGATGAGTAGTTTCATGGAATTTTACCAAATAGCATATTCTTCTTTCCCAGATCTCCTGAAAAGGCAATAAAAGTCAATGGATGCACACTTTTGTGCACTCTGGTCAGCAAATTGCCTTGCTTAGCACAGTACTATAACATAAAAGACCCTTCAGAAACCTTTGTCAATGGATGCAAATGATTGTGTGCATTGAAAATTAACTTTAAGGAGCAGAAAGTATTGTGTATCACATGTAATAATTATGAAGAATGGGGATTTCAAGTAGGTCTCAAACAACAACCACTTATTCATGTTAACCCTAAAGTACATTCATCATCATGAGTTAACTGGTTTCTCTGACACGAAAGTATACTAAATGTGCACCTTCCATCCACTCCACAAAATTCTACATTCAGCCGAAATATGTGTTATAAAGGTTGAGGTGTTACAGATTAACCTATGCAAATAATCCAGTAGTAGCAGCCCCTTGTGGTTCCTTATGTCACATCTCCTCTTTGGAGTCATAATTTCAGCATAGTTGCGCTGGACAGCTCCACACACTTTGCCACTATCCTAAATCCAACAAAACAAGTGATGGTTTTTTTTTTCTCCAGAGTGTTCTGCAAAACTTTGGAAATCCATGAAGTCTGAACCTAGATAGTCAAGAGTTTCAAAGGTGTTATTGATGCTAGGGACAACACGCAAAGTGTGTGGGATAAAAACCAATGGACATCTTTAACTGTATGCTTTATGATAGAATATTCTTGAGGCATCTTCAAAATGATTCCTCAGAGGGTCTTTGTATGATTCAGCCAACATTCTCCATATAGAAAATCAGTTCAAAAACAAACACATTCAGATTCCTTCCTTGTCCCACTGTCCTAACTCCCTCATTTCTCCTTCCAGAAGTAATCTCCAAAATGCACTACCTGAATCCAAACATGTTTATTGCTGGGAAAAATCAATACTACAACTGTTTTCAATAAATATCTTACAAATTATGAATCAGAAATATCTTTTTATCTTGAAAATGAAAAATCACAAAGTGACACTGCAGATAAATCTCTGAATTTTTAAGCATTTCTTTCCTTCTTTTCTTCCTTTCTTCCTTTTTTCCTTTCTCTCTCCCTTTCCCTCTTTCTCTCTTTCTCTCTCTCTCCCTTCCTTCCTTCCTTCCTTCCTTCCTTCCTTCCTTCCTTCCTTCCTTCCTTTCTTTCTCAAAGTCAGAGTGACACAGAGAGAGAAGGAAAGGCAGAGAGAAAGAAATCTTTCATCCTCTGGTTCACTCCCCAAACGGCCACAATGATCAGAGCTGCACTGATCTGAAGCCGGGAGCCTGGAGCTTCTTCTAGGTCTCCTACACAGGTGCAGGGGCCCAAGTCTTGAGCCATCTTCCACTGCTTTCCCAGGCCATAGCAGAGAGCTGAATCAGAAGTGGAGCAGCCAAGACTTGAATCAGCACCCATATGTGATACTGGCACTGCAGGTGGAGGCTTTACCGGCTATGCCACAGCGCCGGCCCCAAGAAATTCCTATCTAAAAGCTTGAAGAACTCATATGGCACATAAATGTCATGTGCTGCACTTTTCATATAGCACAGACTTTGTGAATTTAAAAAATGCTAATATTTCAGGGCCAACATTGTGGCACAGCAGGTTAAGCTGCTGCCTATAGCAGTGGCATTCCACATGTGAGTACCAGTTGAAGTTCCGGTGGCTCTGCTTCTGACGCAGCTCCCTGCTCACATGCCTGTGAGGCAGCAGATGATGACCCTAATGCTTGTGACCCTGCCACCTAGATGGAATTCCAGGCTCCTATCTTAGGTCTGGCCCAGCCCCAGTCATTGAGTCCACTTGTGTAGCAAACCAGCATATGGAAGATCTCTCTGTTTTTCCCTCTCTCTTTGTCAATCTGCCTTTCAAATAAATAAAATAAATCTTTTAAAAATCCCGTCATTTCATTTCAACTTTGTTTCCTTCCTTCTCATGTAATTTATATATAATTGACTATTAGCAAATATAATAATTGCATATAAAATGGAGATATAAATACTTATTGGCAAACTCTTAGGATTAAATATAATTACATTAAAAAGTAGTTATAAGATATGTGGTCCATTGTTTGCACTCAACATTTCCTAACAACTACTAATCAGATACAAAGCAAAAAAAATTCCAACCATATCAAAACACAAATACTGAGAAATGATAGATACAAGGTATTTCCTAGATGTTGGGATAAGGCAGAGCACACGATACAAATTATCTTTAAGATGTTTACAGCCTTGCTGAAGAATTCCAATACAAACATTTAAAAGTAAGGTAATAGAGACCTGCATCATGGCACAGTAGGTTAAGCAACCACCTACAATGCCAGAATCCATATGAATTCAAGTCCTGGTTGCTCTGCTTCCAATCTAGCTCCCTGCTTATGAACATGAGAAAGCAACAGAAGATTTCCCAAATACCTGGGCTCCTGCCACCCATGTACAAGACCCATATAGAGGTATAAGGCACCTGGCTTCAGACTAGAGCAGCCTTAATCATCGTGGCCATTTGGAGAGTGAACTAGTACATGTTTTTCTCTGTCTCCTCCTTTCCTTTCTCTAACTCTGCCTTTCAAATAAATCATTTTTTAAAAAAAGGTTAATACAGCCCAAGCAGCCAACAGAAGCAAAGAGGAAGAACATGATTCATTCCCCACTTATTGACCCATACAATAGTGGTAATGGAAGTCTGGAAGAGAGATCACTCCAAGCTAAGCTAGGATCTTACTTGGGTAGCTGCTATAACAAAGTACCATAAATGAGTAGCTTAAAAACAACAGAAATTTATTTCTCACAGTTCTGGAGACTGGGAAGTCTAAGATTAGTATTTGATGCCTGGCAAGGGCTAAGGCTGCTTTATGGTTCATAGCTTGTGTGCTTACTGTGACCTTACATGATGGAGGAACCAAATGAATGTCATTGAGCCTATTTTATGAAAGTACTGATCTCTTCCATCCAGACTCTACCCTCATGATTTTATCATCTCCCAAAAGCCATTTACATGGCCCCACTGTAGCAAGCTGAGAAGCAACCTTTCCAGGGTGAAGAGGGGACTGAGTGCAATGAATAAAGACAGAGGCAAGAGATTATGGAAAAGCAAAGGGCCAGAGAAGGAACGTCTCTTTGCCTCTCATAGCAGCTTTTATTTCTTCTAGATAACATTAAGTCTTGCTAAGTCAGCAAGCATATATTCACATCAGCACAATTTTGCCTGTGTGGTGGTATGCATCAGGCAATCTCTCACAAAGAGGAGAGGAACATCTTTTGTGATTATACAGACCTTTATTCATTATCCTGGAACAAGATGTCCAAGGCCTCTGTGGCGTGAGCTTTCCCACAACCTGAGGCACAAGAGGACTGTTCGCAGCTTCCTTGGCCTTCCAAGGAATGCAGGTATGATGTTCCTATGTGTCTCCTTAAGAGATTGCCATGAGGGCACCCACTGGTCCCTAGCACACCTTCACATTAGCAATTGGCTTTCAGCATTAGAGTTCGGTACTGAGAACAAGATGGAAAATGTGATCACCATTATGAGGAATCCATGTCAGCACAAGATCCCAGACTGGTTCTTTAGCTGATGGGAGGACATAAAGGATGGGAAATAGAGCCAGATTCTGGCCATTGGCCTGGTCAGCAAGCTCCATGGGAACCCAGCATGACTAAAGAAGATTCAGATCCATAGAGGGGTGCACCACCTCTGGGGTCTTCGTGTCCAAGGCGGCACAGCAACACTGCTGATCACTGTGAATACATCATGGTTTTGTCCAAAAAGAATACATCTATAGACCTGATCTGTTAAAAGTTTATAGACCTATAAAGGGAAAAATAAAACCCATAAATATAAAGCTATAGTTCCTTTATTGTTGCCAGTGCATATTGAAGATCCTTATTCTATTAAACATTGACAACATATAATTAAGGAGATTAAAAAGATAGATAGGTGATAGATAGATACAGATGATAGATATATAGACAGATAAAAGAATGATAGAGATAGATACTGACACAGTCAGGGAGATAGGCAGACCCTTAAATACATAAGTTTGTTAACAATGATGTAATGCTTTTAAGGTTACTCTTGATACTCCTCTTCCTGCTATTGTTCTCATTACAAGTTCACTTTCTAGCAGACTCATCAAAACTCCTTTATGTTGCTCTTCTAACATCCCTCCGCTTCCATCTTACCCTTCTGTTAAATAAAGCAATGAATTCATTCCACACACTATCCTCTGCCAAGAAGAAGGTTTTACATTTGCTTTTATTAGCCCTAGGAGGATATCACTTTCAGC